TAACTATAAGGTAACGAGTGGAGGACAGAGGAGTCTCTTAAAGAAGAAGTTACAGGTCTGTGAGGGCCAGAAATCTTGCTTGTTTGTAGGTGACCAAATACTTATTTTACCGAGGACTTTACCAATTAATTCTTTAAAAATCCTACAATGTGATTTTCTGGATTTTTTTTCTCATTTTGTCTCTCATAGTTGAGGTATACCTATGATGAAAATTACAGGCCTCTCTCATCTTTTTAAGTGGGAGAACTTGCACAATTGGTGGCTGACTAAATACTTTTTTGCCCCACTGTATATAGTCTCACCTTAGTTTTTGGGCAGCGGATGCAGACGGTTTAAATGTAGATTTGGGTGTAGCCTTTGCAGCAAGAACTAGTCAGAAAAAACATCAAAAGCGATCATTAATAATGTAAGAATGCATGCAAGCACAAAGTGTTCCTCAGCCCAAACGTACACTTATCAAAGTCCTCATCATCTGAAGTCAACAGCACGTGTTTTTCTTGAGACTGATTCTCTTTCCCCGAGCCGGACAGCAGCAGTCTGTGCACTGGATCTGTGCTTGAGGACTCATAACTGCCCAGCGCTGGACGTCTGCTCTTCTTCACGCTCTTACGCAACTGAAACAGCAGCAAGAGACAGGCTCTGGTGAGACATCTCGAGAGGAGTTTTATGTAAATCATGTACATGTTCAACATAAGCATTAGACCTTCTCTTCAGCTTTATCCAGACCACCATCTCGGTCCCAGCCCAGCTTTTCGGAGACCCTCTGAAACAGCGATAGAGTGCTGGGATCCATCGCCGCATGAAGAGTGGAAAACGACTGATCAGCACCTGAGCACTTCTCTCTCCTGTTGGCACAGAAACGAAGCCTAAAAAAAATTAAATGCATTTACAAATGAAAACCAGTGTTGGGGAAAGTTACTTTTAAAAGTAATGCATTACAATATTGCGTTACTCCATTAAAAAAGTAACTAATTACGTTACTTAGTTACTTTTTATGGAAAGTAATGCGTTATGTTACTTTTGCGTTACTTTTTAAATCTGCACAGGGCTTGCTTGTTTGTTTTTAAAATAAAAAAAAAGTTATATTTTTGGAAAATATAGAAGCCTTTCAAACCAAAAGTGAAATGAATCAGCCTCAGGCTGAAGGGAAAGTACAGTAGAATACAGAAGAAGACATTTCAACACTTCAGCAATAAACAAACACACTAATGTTCGTCTAGAGTAATGTGTGCTTATTAGTGCTCTTGAACCGGATCATCGAAGGTCAGAAACAAATAGAATGGGATTAAATACATAAAGGATATTTGTGTTGTCTAACATTTAATTATTGCAGGTTTGCGTCATATTCTGAGTTGCATTATTTTATTCATTTTGAGGAATACTGAATCTGTGTTTTTGTTTTTTGTGAGTGAGATTAATTAATGCATATTTATTTTAGAGCTACAGTAACATCTGATTTCTCTCAGCATGGGGACAGGAGAGCTGTCAGTCAATACATTGGGGGAAAAAGTAACTCAGATATTATCTTGTAAATTAAAAAGTAACGCGTTACTTTACTAGTTACTTGAAAAAAGTAATCCGATTACGTAACCCGCGTTACTTGTAATAATTACCCCCAACACTGGTGAAAACCGTGCCGAGCTGTCGCAACTGAAGGCGGCTTAGACTCTATTGCTCTGAGTCCATGTTATACATGGGACTTTTCATCGGTTTACATCAGAACGGATTAAAACTAATAAAATATTAAATGAATACAATAAATAAAATGTAAAACTACAGTACTATAAAAGCGACACACTATAATATCTCCAAGCATTACAACAGGACAGCTCAGAAAGGCAACAATTAATCAAGCTAGCTATAAAACTACACGACTGTAAGTAACACAATGCTGCCAAAGCTGAAATATATTCAAAAATAGATCATACATAATATAGGACTAAGCTAAACATGTGACAACATGTGTCCTGCAGAGTTCAGCTGTTAGTGCCTCACTCACAGCACGAGGAGATTTATCACCTAATAATACAATGAATATATAACCTAAACTGCTGATATTCACCGGCGCTTTTCGTGTCTGCAATATCTTCTGGCTTTTACTAACGCGACCATATGACACACACACACACTCACACTCACACACTCACACACACTCTCACACACTCACACGCACTCACTCACACGCACTCACTCACACGCACTCACTCACACTCACTCACTCGCACTCACTCACTCGCACTCACTCACTCACTCACTCACACTCACACACACACACGCACTCACACACACTCACTCACACACACTCACACACACACGCACTCACTCACACACACTCACTCACTCACTCACACACACTCACTCACTCACACACACGCACTCTCACACACGCACACTCACGCACACGCACACTCACTCACACACACGCGCTCTCACACACACGCGCTCTCACACACACGCGCTCTCACACACACGCGCTCTCACACACACGCGCTCTCACACACACGCGCTCTCACACACACGCGCTCTCACACACACGCGCTCTCACACACACGCGCTCTCACACACACGCGCTCTCACACACACGCGCTCTCACACACACGCGCTCTCACACACACGCGCTCTCACACACACGCGCTCTCACACACACGCGCTCTCACACACACGCGCTCTCACACACACGCGCTCTCACACACACACGCACACTCACTCTCACGCACTCTCACACACGCACTCTCACACACGCACTCTCACACACGCACACTCACGCACACGCACACTCACTCACACACACGCGCTCTCACACACACGCGCTCTCACACACACACGCACTCTCACACACACGCACTCTCACACGCACTCTCACACGCACTCTCACACGCACTCACACGCTCTCACACGCTCTCACACGCACTCACACGCACTCTCACGCACTCTCACGCACTCTCACGCACTTTCACGCACTC